CCACCACGAGAGTGAAACCACCTTCTGCATGTACCACACTGCACAGCACCACGCTGATCCTGGATGGGGAGACTTTGCTCTGCGCCACATTTGTGCCTTGTTTGTCACCTGGCTGGCGAAACGACCGATGGCAGATAAGACAGTCCACCCGCCAGGCAGGCCTATCCTGAGCAACCTCATACCAGGCCAGACAGACACACACCACACACACGCACAAACGCGCGTGTAAACAGTGACTAAACACACACACACACACACACACACACACACACACACACACACAAGGCACACACACATGATCGCACGCCTGCAGACCATCGCTCCAATGAAGATAAGATTACTACTTCTTTGCGTAAATATGTTTGAGATAGAGTGTCACTCTTAGATGTGACTGATGCCATCAACCAATGTCAAGGAAAAAAAATTCACGGTTCGCGTCAGACTCGGCTAGAGGCCGAGTTTTCCGCATCCGTAGGAACGCCATCATCCTTCAAGGATCAAGGCGCAGATGCAAGGAAAGAACGTGTTCAATCTTCTTCTGCACACGTAGAAATAGGTTTGGGCATTTTCGATGATTTAGAATGTACGTCGCGTGAATATGACAATGTGACAGAGGCAGCCAAAATTTACTGATTACTGTGCATTGATCTAGCTATATACACTGCAAGTGCACTGTAAATATTGTGTTACATGCATGTAGTTGTGAAGGGAGACAGTGTACATGTACATTCACCAATGACACACCTGTCAGACAGCAGGTTAGGGCTAGTCAAAGTTATGAAGGCACAATGTACGATACGAAGGCAGAATTTTGCGATGTACTTGAGTTTGTGAATATATAGTGGACTTTGTGTTCACACACACTCTACCAAATTGCCATGCACACCCTTGTAACACACACACACTTGAGCCTGGGGAGCATGATTGCTGTCAGCCAGTGTTGCTTTCAAATGCTTATTCTCGTCAGGAGTGATGTGAAACACATACTGGTAAATATCAATCTCTAAAAAATGCATCCTAAATAAAACGCTCAAGCACTGAGTCTAGTCAGAGTGATAAGACAATAAATTGAAGGAATTTCTCAACAAAAACTCAGTGTACCGCTGTGATCAAGCCGTGGCAATAACTATAGTAGTTCTTGGTGGACAGCGATTACCATAAAGAAATGGTGAGATACTACAGTAGTACCCTCTACTGACACAATGCAACCACGTCGTTGTCCAGTACATGTTCGAATCAAAAAATGTTTCGTACATTCGTGACCATTTCAATTTATATTCAAGGGCGACCTCCACAATCCACTGGCTTCAGAGTCGATTGATCAGTATAGAACGGCCATTCTTGACAAAATAGACAAATTTTGCGAAGGATGGCGTTCTACAGTGGAAGGGACTCGCCAAGTCACTTGAACCAATTCAACGAAAATACAAAATACTCAGGTTTTACACATTCACGTACCCGTCTGTGCCGTCCCCCATTCCTTCCAAGACATCCACATAGACTCCAACGCTTTTATTCTACTCTTTTTCCGAAGCCGACCATGGGCATGGGCAGTGCCTGCTGGAAGGGACATCCCAACACTTCTCTGACAGGTGACAATTTCCACAAGTAAAAAATGCACCTCAAAAAACGTAGCCAAGTGAAGGAGTGAAAAAAGAAGAAGAAAAAAGCTCACACTCTAGACTCGAGTACGAGAGTTTCGTACTCAGGCCATCTGCTCGAGCTGGACCCTTCGAAACTGGAGTGCGCTACAAGCTCGCTACGCCAACTCCGCATGCACTTTTCTCGAACGTAGGATGCGCGAGAACCTGCGCAGAAGACGAGTTTAGAAATAGGCGCGAGCCACCTTAACATGCTTTATGGTGACATTAAATAGGTCTAGTTGCCATAGTAACCTGTGCGTTTGCGTAATTGACGTAATGTTGGTGCTGTTTAGTTTTAATAATGATCATGAGATTCGGATCTATTACCGATACGCTGTAATGGGTATTTCCATGATCATGGACACTCTAGTAACTTGTACCACTCGCCGCCAAATACGGTGTACTCTGATTTCAGAAATTTTCGGCGCTCAATATTTTCGGTATGAGGGCAAAAGGCCAGGTTAGGTGAACAGAAAATTTAGGTGCAAAGAAGCAGTTCCCTATTGGATTACGTGTGTAAGTGTTTGTTCGGTGTACTTCGAAGTAGGAATGAAACAGATGCACCGAAAGTACCGAAAATAAAAGTACACCGAAAATCTGTGGAATTACATGTACAGTATACGGAAACGCGAAGACTACCGAACACCAGCATGCCGGTGTGGACTGCAGGAGACTACCGAACACCAACATGCCGGTGTGGACTGCAGGAGACTACCGAACACCAACATGCCTGTGTGGGCTGCAGGAGTGCAAAGTGGAATGTTACAACTACACCAGATATAAATCATCTTTGTCTCTTCCAGAAAAGCGGGGCAGACGACGTAGCTTCCCGTCTCAGGTGCACAGGAATGGTGCCGTGGACAGCGTGCGGGAAACTCACCTCGCACATATACGCCAAGTGTGTATTCTGCACCATGGCTGTACGGAAGATAGTCAGTAAGCCCTCTTGAGCGTCCGGGAACAGGAGAAACAGATGAAGACTGAAAAACAATAACAAGAAGCACCCGTGAACACAGTCATGCATGCACAGTTGCACACCCACACACAAACACGCGCTGCTTTATAAATGGCTCCTGGTCATACCCCTTCCCACTTCCCTGTGATGCCCCTGACTATCATACATTCACCTGAGTGAGCAGAGCTACAGCCTGACCAGGAGCTTACCTGCAGACAAACTCCAGCACAGCGTCTCCAAGAAACTCCAGACGCTCGAAATGCTGCACACTGGAGGAGGAGATGGGAGGAGAAGAAAGAACACAGAAGGCGACAGTAAGCGAAAAGTACAGACACAGAGCACGAATTGAGGTGTTGATGGAAGATGGGGAGGGTGCTTTCTTGGCGATTTGCTGAGCGGACGGCCCAGTATTCTTGTCGTGCGCTCCAGAAGGCAGTCGCGAGTCAGTCAATCGGCAGGAAGCGCGAGCTCCAAAGTTTAACTGCCATAGGACGGATACATTCGCATGACTGCGCAGTGCATACTGCAGACACTCAAAGGTTTCGTAACTCGGCTTGCCTCTTGAAAGGAAACGAGTAATCGAAAGTCTCTTCGCATTAGAAAGTTCACAGCTGCCACTAATCAGATCCCACTGCACTTGATGAGCCCACCAATGCTGAGAAAGAGGATGCGACGGCAATCGCCAGGGGCTGCAAAGTAGCTATGCCGATGGGCGGGGGTAGTTTGGGCGACAGCATTGCCTCACCATCGTCACTGGACGCATGCATGGGAAAGCCCAGTGCGAACTTGACATGTTTTGACAAGAAAACAAAACATTGACATAAAATGTCAAAACATGTCAAAATTTTACATCTTATTTCAAGGATCCCCCTAAAGCAAATGGATGTCACTCAAATGTTATCTCCTAGAGATGACGAGGTGAGATGGGGTGTGGACTTACGGCGAAACACTATCAGGCGAGGCTTGCTTTCCCATGGTATTAAAGAGCTTGGTCATTCCTGTGCATAAGATGAAGACGCCAGCAGAATGCAGGACACACACACCATCAGGTGAGCAACTCGACAAGGAGAACGTGTACCGTTCTGGACATTGGAATCCTCCGCTGAGAATTCAAGCGGCCACTGGAGGCTGGCCTTGCAGCCGCGAGCACTGCCGGTCCATTGTTTACAGTGTGTATGCGACCTACATGGTGCGTACCGGTACGCGCTATGAAGGCAGTAAGGGCGCCGGCCCCGGTTATTCCACTGGATCTCAATGTCTACAACAGTGCAAGTACAGTAAACCCTGTCACCTGTCCAAGAAGACCCCCTGAAACCAGGACCAAGGGATGCCATTTCCAGTCAAATGGCCCTGGATAAGGAGACCACCTGGTAACAGAGACCACATTTTGAAGGTCCCTTGAGCGGTCGTCTTAGACGGATTTCTCCGCACATGGTCGTGCGTTTCCGGTACGCCCGGCCCGGCCCTGCCATATCCACACACCGTGGGACCAAAATGAAAAACGAAAAAAAACGAAACTCTCCTCGACCTCCTTTTAAACGAACAAATCTCGTCAATATTTTCTCGTCTGGTGTAGAGGATCAATAACTATGGACTGGTGGAGAACTTAAAACTTGAACTTAAAAGCTGGTCTTACCGCGTCGCTTCAGGATGGGCATGACAGCACGTCTATCGCCGTATGCCGGCTCTCTCACTCCGCAGTTGGACAGGGCGTTGCGCGCGTGATCGGGATTCATGCAGTAATTGACGTGGTGAGACGGATGCGTCAATGCCAGCTGCACAAAGCACAGGGGAGAGGAGAAAACAGAAAACGTAGTTCGAGGATCGTCCGCGACTGGCTCGCAAAACGCCGGCCTTCCGTGCATGGAGCACACATTGTACGTAGACCTATGGTCCATTGAAGAATCACTCTTGACTACCGTATTTCCCCCGAATACCAGTTACAGTCACACCTTTTTCACACTAAACCTTTCGGGGAAAGCAAACACACCCATGTGCAGCAAATACACAGACGTACCGAGAGCAGGCTGCGGTCTTTAAACTTGTACTGCAGAGTGTCGTCGAACTCCTTGAGCGAGATGAAGTGACGGACGTGATGCGTGATCACAGGCAACATCAATGACCACTGCAACACACACATACATACATACACACACACACACACGCGCACACATGCGTGCACACACGCACATACACACACATGCACACACACAGAGTACACATAAAACAGATCAACAATGCGCACATTACACACGTCAACTGGACGCACGTGTGTCAGGCGGAATTCAACATGGGATGTGAGGCAGAAAAGCTTCCATACCACGAGAAAATCCATGTAACATTGAGCAAGGTGTGTATGGCTACCCAAAGAGCCATACCGGAGCTGCAAGCCTCCCATGACG